TATTTTTTAGAAAACTGTTGCTTTACGAATTTTAGAACATTAATTTCTTTTTCCTGTGACTCCCTAGTGAAAATTGAAATTGAAGAGTAAATAAAATGTAAACGAAGAGTGACGGAAGTATAAGTGAAGAGCTTACAAAGTGTGTGTGTAAATTGAAACTTCGGAATGTAAAGCAAGCGGATACGCTTGAAAATTATTTTTGTATCTGGAATTAAAATATTTGGTATATTGCCATCTTTGTTACTTAAGTTAATTAAAAGATATATTTGTGAGAAAGAGCAAAACAAGTGATAATTAAATTTTGTTGCAATTACCAAACATTTGGTTGATATCATTTTAATTAAATTTTGGTCTGATGTATTTTTAATTTTAAATTTTTATTTCTACAATAAAATTTTTATTTTTACAATAAAATCATTCTTCTTTTTTAATGAACTGTCTGTATTTCCGGGAATTCAATAAAAGTTTCTTCTCAGATTGCATATTACGTTCGTGTCATTTATCAAAATTCGCACGATCGCATGTGCTTGTTGGTATCAATCGATCGGTTCGCGCTCGCGAGTGTTGCCTGGAACCGCGTCACGAAAGTGATCCACAATGGTCGACATCGCCGTCACTATTGTCCTCTGGCTGGGTGTAAAGAGGCAAAAACGGTTTCAACTTTCGAGTACCCGCACCACCACCCTGTCTCGTCATCCGTCGCCCTTTCGCGCATGGAGTGCTGTCGCGGTGGCTTTTTCCAGCTTTGATGGAGCGCCACTCCAGTGCGCATAAGATGAAATGAATTAGCACACCGGAACCAGAAATCGACCGACAGCAGCTCCGTCACCCTCTCCTCTCCTCTCTTTTTTTTTCTCTCTCTTTCTCTCTCTCTCTCTCTCTCTCTCTCTCTCTCCGTTCCTCTCTTCTCTTTCCTAGTCTTTTTGTCTTTTTTCGACCTTCGTTCTTTATCATCATCTCTCTTTCCCCTGATTTCGAGTCGCACAAACCGTTGCAGTCGTCTCTCACGAGTTCCTCTGTAGAACGCGTCGTGAGTTTGTTCGGACTCATTAGAACCACTCGAAAACCCTCTTCGAGTGAACGGTCCAGTGTACCACGTCGATCTGTCAGCATCGTTGATGAATAGAAACGGTTGCAGTCGCGAATTGCTGCTGGGGGTTAGAAATCTCGTCGCGGTGTCGTCAGGCTTGGTCACCTGGACAAAATTCAAATCGACGAAAATATATCATACGTGTAAGCTGCGAGACACAACAGAATATCTAAGTATAAATGTTTCCTTTAAATCAGTGTTGGGTATTAATCGAATTTCTTTGACTAAAACAATCGGCGAAATACTAATCAAAATTATATCAATCGTCATATTTGTATGTAATTAAGAATGTAATTATGAATAATTTAATCGACTGATGAAATTAATTATTAATTAATCAATCACTGAGAAGATTCAATCATTGAAAGTTTGATTAATAATTCATTTCCTTAGTCGATAAAATTTTTTATAAACTGTATTGTTCTAAACTAAGTACTTTTTCTATGATAAGTTTGAAAAATGACAAAAGTATTTACATAAAATAAAAATATTAAGACTACTAATTTGTTGGCAGAAGTTAGACTAAGCACATAAACGAAAGATAAGTCAAAACAAACATTAATCGTATAACGTATTTAACTAAACATACACAAACTGAAGTATTTAAACAGAGATTGTAAACAAAAAAGAATTGCGCGTACGACAGTATAACGAAAATCTCGCGCTTGTAAATATTTCCACGTAAGATTCCAATACTTTAAAGTGATTCATCTCTCGAGAACTACACGCGATTCCCATATAATATAAAGTACTTTGAACTCTACTATTTATAACATATCTTAAAATCAAAGAAAAATCCGAGAGGTTTTCTATATATAAAATAGAAAATTGTTTCTATACTATAATTACTATAATTACTATAATTATCCTAAATATGTTTTACTCAATGAGATGGAAGAGTTTGTTGTGAATCGAGTTATAGCAACACAAGATATAAAGAAATGTTCTACAATATTCAGTAGCATTTCAACATCATAAAAGATATATCTTTTCATGGTTTCGTGATTATATAATGATAATATGATTGGAAATATGATATAAAAGAAAGAACTTCCAAAGGAAAATTTGAATTACAATTTATGAAACATTGACATGTTTTTGTACGTTTAAAGGAAATCGAGGATATGCGTTATGTGTATGTTGCTCTCCATCTACTTTATTATTACGGAGAGAGAAAAAGAGAGAGAAAAAGATACGCAAATTCCTTTAATTATCTTATGTTCTCCTACTACAAACGAATGCCATAGAGAAGTTATTACGAACTGATTCGGAATGGATTCTGATCGGAGTATTTTAATTAAACCCTATACTTCTCTCTATTGTGTTTCTCAAGAAAAACATAATTATTCCCATCGGAATCCAACACGTCCACGATAGCTCCATGGTTGCGTAACGCGCATTGTATGTAAGTTTACGTAACATAACGGTATTACGAGAGCATTACTGTGCATCGACGACAATGAAGACGCTAAGTGATTCCGTACAACTCGGTGAAGTAAACCGAATAATGCTTAATACGCCAAATACGCCAGCACCACCGCACTGTTTTCCGGTATGTTGCTCGCAGTTCTGCTCATTATAAGTTTCTCGTCGGCATGAAGGTGAAACGTGCTTAATTACCTAAGCAATTTCTCGTTAGCGCGGTCGGCCGTGCTCTGCGACGTGGAGCGTAGCGACTTTTGACAGGTGAGATCAACTAGTAACACGTGAGTGCCAAATAGGCGCACAAAGACGCGGGCATCTACATATCATTCCCGTCGCCGGAGCTCGGATTGAATCCGCCGCGTGACGAGATGTGAGCACGCGAGGGCCCGGAAAATTGAATTGCGATTGCAACGTCGGCCGTTGCGCAGGGAAATCATTTAAGCGCAATACCGTGAGTCACCGCAACCCCTGTCCATCAAAGGATGAAATGCGACGGACGTTGTCCATTAGATCTCTCCTGATGGCGACCACTAAATAGAGACGAAAATTTAATCGCACGAAAGTTACAACGCCGCGTAATTTTGAAGAAAGCTAAATAACGCGTATTCTTCACTTGAGGCTTCACTTGGCTTCCATTTAACGACTTCCAAAAACACAAACTCACACTGAGAGAAATTATCCGACAAAAATTAACAAATTGATATTTCCAGGTAAATTTTGATCAATTTTTATATTCGACCAGGATTTAATGGCATTATATTAGATAAATCGACCAAGAAATTATGAACCGATATTTCTTATTGGATACAAAAATACATCTATATTTTAATCGGAAATATTCGTTTGTTAATTTTTATTGGATAATTTCTCTATAATATTTCTACGACTATTTTCATGCATGTCACTTGAATTGGAATTATATAGAAGGATTATATTATTTCCTAATCCATTATTGTATACCTACCGTTCTGTATGGAACTTTCGTGTTCGATTAAAAACGTCGTCTTTTGAAAGCAAGGTCCCGCCTCAAATGCCAAAAATTTAGTAAAAGTCTTCAGGGTCTAAAAGAGGCACTCCATACATCACTTGTACGTTCATTCACGCTTCAAAGTTACATCGCCATAACCGAATGCGCTCGCTAACAATCTTCAAGAGGCGAGAAATTGCCAGCCAGGATCGGTGTCCCCTAAACGTTTCTTAGATTCATTTTAGGAAGATCGTCAAAAGCACCGGCCGGCCGTTGTGCGTCGGCGTGTAGGACGAAAGGCAGAAAAGGTGGATTGTGGAAGCGCGATTTTTCGATTCCGACTTTTCGCTCGGGTCTATCGTCGTCATTCAGCCGGCAATCGGTCCCCTTCTCCTCCTCCTGCTCCTCCATATCGTCGATTCTCCGGCTGGATGAATGAATCGAGTCCGCGCGATCTCGGGAACTTCTTGGCTACCGTGAATGGGCGCGGTGTTGTCGTGCTTGGGCTCGGAAAAAAGGCAGCCGGTTTTCACGTTTGCGGGGCCCGGCGGGAGGGCCCCGCGAATAGCGATACAAGTGTCCCATTGTCGACTTGAGCCCGAGATTTGGAGAGCGCGCGCACGCTAAAGAGAGAGAAAGAGAAAGAGAGCCTGGCGCATTGTAGCGTGACTCCTTAACACCATTAACTACGTTTTACCTTAAATTTAACCTAAAGTAGGGGCCCTTCTGACAAATTTACACAATTCACGGCATCACACGAGCGGATTTCTGCCAACAATAGTGACGGGCCCTTGAAGCGACCACGTTGTGCTCCCGTTGAGTTGTACTCTTTCTGGTCGATCGTTTGGCTGGAAAAATCGCGCACAGGAGCTCGTCGTGGCATCTTTGGAGGTGGTGACATGTGTTAAGGATTCTTCTTTTTTCGACGAACAGTTGACCCGTTAAATTTTATCTACTAAAGAGCTGATATAAATAGTTATTTTGTAAATCTTTATTTGCCATTATTGGTACAGGCTCGTTTATATATCGCAAAATATATTCCTGATATGAGATAGACCTGAGATATATGAAATGTGTGTATAACAGAAAGATGATATAAAATTTACATTAGACTGTGTTTATCAGTTGCACATTCATATGTATCTAATTGTATATATATGTATTGATGCTAGAAAGATTATTGTGTTATAGTTTTCGTTACTTTTTAAATTGTCGTGATAACAAAGTACATTTCTAAAAATGAGTCTTTGCAACATATCTCTGTAAATTATAGTAAATAAAAGTCGCATTGTGATGCTTTAGTAATAAAGATTTAATCAATTTAATTGGAAATATTTCATGATTCCACATACATAGATTAATTTATTTTATATCATTGTGATGAGGATTTATTAGATTCCTAATTAGAATAATTTTCTTTATTTATGCTCTTTAATATCATATTTTTGATGTATTTATATCAGAATTGTTTTCTCAATAATATATTTTATATAAAAAATTTAGCTTTTGTTATGAATAATTATCTTAAAATTCACTTTCTTTTTGTACAAAAAATATTGACTCATTATCAAGCAGCCACGTGCAAAGTATAAATGAAGACACATTAATAAGGTAGAAAATGAATTTTAATTTGGCGCAGTTTATATTAAAAATATACAAATTCTGTTTCTTTTTCGCGCATAGATCGTGTAAAAATATATTTACAATATTTACAACACAGGCTAACACATTCTCGTATGAGGCTACAACATCTTACATCTTAGGTCGCGAATATTTTCTGACAGGAGTTATACATTCAATAATTACATTACATTATTTGACAACATACAACGGCGGTACAAATATTTATATAATTTATTAATTTATTAATTTCGATCATTCATATAACGAATTTAAATGAGGTGAGCAAAAGCTAGCTTTAATTGGTTTCGAAATGTAATTGAAATCAATAGCTTAATGAATTAAACATAATTGTATAAAATTATATTTAGTAATCAGCAAGAACTGTAATATCGTATAATATAATAAGCTTATGGACAGCTCTACCGGATTTACGAGTTAACGATTCGCTCCACCGTATGCTTTATGCATTCTTTATTTTTCAATATCGGATTCGTCCACGGTTTTGGAATCTGATAAGTCATCGTCGTATCCATCCTTTTTCTATCACCCCTTTCATCAGCTCCCTCCTCCATACTCCTCTTACAACCTCGAGAGAAATCTCGCGCCTCGTACTCGCCAACCTGATTCGTGTCATTTATCTTTCGGAAGTTCGTGATCCTTTCACAGCGGACGTCATCGTGCGCGATTGACCGTTCGAGGTGTTCGACTTCGGTAGATTCGCGAATGGCTTTGCCGTCGCTGCTCTCGCTGCTCTTTGAGGGCTCCTTTTCCTCTTTTTCCCGTTCGCACTTCCGACCGGGCGAGCCGTCGCCGCAGTCGTCCTTCCGTTTGCTACAGGTCCTCAGGCAGCAACACTTTTGGCTTTGCCCGGACGGAAGATCTTCCTTCTTGTACTTCACTCGGCGATTTTGAAACCAGATCTTCACTTGCTTCTCCGACAACTGGAGATTGGTCGCGATCTCGATGCGACGCAGCCGCGACAGGTACATATTCGAGGCGAATTCACGTTCCAATTGCAATAGTTGTGTGCTGGTGAACGCGGTGCGAATACGCTTTGAACTGTTGTTGATGGAGACCGGGGACTTTGGCGGAGGTGTCGGTGTACTATTACGAGATGGTGACTCGTTGGGTGCTGAAACCTCTGCAAAAAGTTAGAAGTTAATGGCGTCTTCGCGACATGTTGTCGCAATAGATGAGCTCGATGAACTTCTTGCTCTTTTCTATTCTCGTTATATGGGAAGCCTTTCAGTTTTCTTCACTTTTAGACATTCTCGGATCAAGTACATCGTGACTGTTTGATTTGACAATCTAGTTTTTATTCGTTAATTTAATATTATATAATCCGTTGCGCAATTTTGCATTTAACTCTTTGCATACGTTTTTTAAATACACGTTTTAAATACACATTTACTATTGATCCGAAAATATCTAAGTCGTAATTTGAGTGCATTGGTCTACATAGACCAATAATTTGAAATGTTAAATATTATCACATAGTTCGTATGCTATCATAAATGAATAAATAAATATATTTACCTGATACATTATTGGTCGAGGTGTTCAGAGGTGATGGAGGAGTCTGTCCAGATATCGGCAAGACGCTCAGAGCGGGCGGGCTGATATGCACCGGCACAGTGGGTGGTCTGGGTATCGGCCTGATCGGCTGATAGTTTAAACCCAAATTGAAAAAATTGAACATGTAATTGGGCAGCTGGTTCCCATAATACGGCAGGGGATACGAAGGCGACGAGTTATTGCCGATCAAAGAGTCCACGAAGAAACTTCGGGACATCCTTCGCGATGAAGGATGCTCTAGAAGATCGACGCAACTGCCGAAATTACGTCAAAATCCCAGCCACAGGTTTTACACGTGACACAAAGTAATCCGAAGTTCATTGAAATTCCCTCGTTGCACTGCACTTATGTTCGATCCCCGCTTTGAATTTAACGCGACGAAATTTGTCTTCTTTCTCTGGAGAGGACACTTCGTTATCTCGGTATCTTCAGCCTCTTTGATATCCTTCCCCGGAATTGTTTCTCCTCATTTTCTGACCCACTCGGAGTTAGTCAATTTTGATCCGTGTGCGCGCCACTTTTAATTTAACTTCTTCGATACTGCTACTTTAATATTTCGCTGCTGCACAATTAGTATACATGTGGCTGCCTCAATAACTCAGTACAACGTTATACGAAACATTAAGTCAAACGTATCAACTCGCACGTTCTCACTACATGGTGGTTCATCAAGTTCTGAAAACTCGAGGTCAGGGAGCTATATATATATACGTGGAAAACTCCACCCAGGGGTGGGTTTTTGATCCGGGGCCCCTTTGTAACGTGCCCCGCCCTTCTACGAGAGGGTGCCCCTTTCGGGGTTTACCCCAACTGCTCTCCCCGGGGAACGAAAGTGAGTAGGGCATTTTCTCGCAGCGCTAATTCGACGGGTGGCTAATATCGCCGGAAATTTTATACGGCCTCTTTACCCATCTTTCTATTATTATCGACTCACCGGTCTCCCCTACTCTGCCTGTCGTAATTTCGGGACACGAATGATGAACCCAAAGTATGATTTAAATCGACGGAAACAAGATAGTGGTAGTAGTTACAGAAATATATTTCTTATATTATATACTTAAGAAATATATTTCTGGCAAAATAACGAGGTCAAATGACGTCGTTTACCACCAATCCATCAACAATTCATAAAATCTGTAAGAACTGCGGAAAGATAAATTTGTTTGGGACGAGGTCGTATCCATCGCTGTCTGTTACGTAGGTGGATCATTTTTATACGGGTGAGATTATGCCGGTAGCGGGCGTCGGTTTACACCGGGGACTCTTCCTGTCGACATCTCAGCGAGGGGCGAAGTGTAAGCTCGTTCCTCGCCCCGGGTCGATATTCAACATCTCTCGGCAGGCTCAAATCAAATCTCGGATCCGCCTTAGAAACTGAGACGCACTCTCGGTCTTATCTCTCGTTTTCTCCCTACTCACAATCCCATCGGTTATGCGAGTTTGCATTCTCGGATATATTGTGCCAATTGAATCCCGCAACAAAGTGAAATAAAAATCGCCGGTGCGAGGATAACGAGGGAAAAATGACGATGAGAGAGTTGCAGAATGCGAAATTCGGATATTTCGATGGATCGGCTTGACCGAAGGATATCGGAGATCGTCAAAAAGCGTTTTGCATTTTTGCTGCGGGAACAGGTATACAGTACATCACGGTAGATACATTATACTTCACGATGATACTTTAATACGATCATTATGCAAAATAGCGAGAGAGAGGGAGAGAAAGAAAAAGAGAGAGGAGGAGAGAGAGAGAGAAAGAGAGAGTTTTTCGCCGATATTAATTTATGTTCAAAGGGAATATTACATAGAACGTAAAGAAAGGAAACTTACGGCTCCTATTATAAGTTATTAAGAAATGAGGATAAATAAATACATTAAACGTGCGGAGATAATAGAGAAAGAGACATTTAACAACATAAATGGCGATTTTTGTTAAGCGAGACGTTATTAATAGCTGTACTTTAGCAGAGAGAGAGAGAGAGAGAGAGGGGGGGGGG